TCTCCTTCTGTGCAACAAGAAACCAAGATGAACTGGACATCTCTCCAGGTCAGATCAAAAGCCATTGTGAAGGCATGGACACCATCAGCAAATTTTTCAGGATGTTCAGAGAATCCACCCAATTTTTTGTTTACACTGCTGAATATCTGTAACTGAAAAGGACTGTGAGAAGGCATTTAAACAGGGAGTCGGTGGGATGGATGATGCATATCCCAAAATGGGTTCTGTGGACAGGAGTTGCGGGAAACCAAAGAGGCCTATCCCTGAGCCAGTTGCTGACTATTATGGTTTGTGTCTGGATGTCCCCCCAAAGCCTCACGCAAAGCCTCATTTTTGACAGGCTTTTCAGAGGTAATTGAATCTAGAGTTCATGATCGACTCATGATCCAATGCTGCGATTGAGGGTGTGAGTGCTATGCCCACCCCTGGGTGGGTATCCTGCATACAATGTAAGGGACAGAAAGAGAAAAAGGCTCTCTTCTCTTCTCCTCTCCTCTCTTTTCCCCTTCCCTCCCCTCCCCTTCCTTCTCTCTCTCTCCTTGTCCCTGTCTCTGTCTCTGTCTCTGTCTCTCTGTCTCTCTCTCTCTTTCTCTTCACTGCTTTGCTGTCTTCTGCCACCATGAATAGCTGCCCCTCTGCCACATGCCACCCTGCCTTGGAGGCAGCCAATTATGAATTAAAACCTCTACAAATTGTGTGCTAAATAAATCTTTCCTCCCTTAACTTGTGGGTGTTGGCTAGTTTGTCTCAGCAATAAGAGAAAAGTAACTAAGACCCATTAGTGGGGACTTCATAGGTCATTTCCTAACAGGACTAACAGGCCTATGCTTAACCCAGTGTAGATATTCCTCGTCTAGTGATCTACCTCTTTAAACACTGTTCAGACCCACAGCTCACGTTTATGAGGCAGAAACCTGAGTGATAGTGCAACCTTACTGTGGCTTCTTCACAGTACAGTACTTGAATTTTTGCTGATTGCACTGTACAGTACTGCAGTTTTCTGTTGTTATACATTATGGTACTGCATGTAAGAGTTATGCAAATAAAAGCAAAGTCATCAAGTTGGGGTTTCCTTTGCCCATTTCTTTGTTCTGAATACTGTAATGTACATGTGCCATACAATTCCTCAGTGGCAAGCAATTCATTTAATGGCCTGTTTGCAGGAGCATATCTCAGTTGTCAAATGAGGGCACCTGACAGGGCATCTCCTGGTAGTTCCTGAGCCTTTCAGCCCCAGAGCCATGACCTGGTGAGGCTGAGTTTCTCAAGCTTAGGTCATAGAAACCTTATAGAGACTTGCTCTGAATTAGTTCCCACATGGGAAGCCACAAAGCATACCCTAGATTAACGATAACCCTGAAACCCCTGGGGGGCTGGGCGTCCCAGCCCTGTGTGGGCTTGTGCACCACTTTTCCTTTCGAACTTTAGAGTCTCCCCGATGTCCACAGAGTCCAGAAATAGGGTACCTTATTGGCTGGACCTCTTAGCCAATTCTAAAACTACCCCTAACACCTTGCTTAACCGAACCCCCAAACCCAGACAATTCCCCGCAGCTGTGGCTGTCAGGGCCTTCTGACTGAGAAATAGGCTCTTCCACGACGATATCCCAGTACTGGAAGTCTAAGAATGGGGAACAGGACATCACTCCAGAAAAACCTCATCTCACTGGATCAAGCATACTTGTCTAGTGACAAAAATCTCAAAATAAAATTTAGGCATGAAATTTAGTAAATTCAGTCAGCATATGCAGGTTGCAAATCCTTTTGGCTTGGGGCATAAACTTAAAGCCACCATTATCACCACAAAAGCAAAACTGAGGAAAAGGGAGAGAGAAAACTAGTATCAGAGGAGTAACCCAAGAAGAGACAACTATAGGCAGGGTTTAGGACCCAGAAGAACTGACTCAGCCGGAACCGGCTCTGCCAGCAGCATCTTGGGCAGAAGCCAGTGTTTTAAAAGGAACAACTTTTACTGTCCCAGTGTGGGAAAGCAAGTATTTCTCAGCTCTGTTTCCCACAGTTGGTCAGCACTAAAAACCAAGTAATTTGAATACTCTGATAGACGAAAGCCTGGTGGGGGACTCAGAACTCCCCGAGAGGGGGAAGGAAAGTCATTGTGAGGAGCACGCTGTGACACCTGGGCGCTAAGCAGGTGGCTGCCCAAGCCTGGGGTAGGTTGCCAAGCAACTGCACAAAGAAAAGCAACATTTCTGGCAGGCAGCGTTCCTGGTTGCATGGCGCAGCCTTTTGGTGGCTCTGCCAAAGCAGTGGCACTCACCTGCTAGTGGCCTCCTCCAATCTGCTGGAGTCATAGCTGCTGACCCACGTTTTGGGGACCAACAATAATATACAAGCTCAACCCATCCACAGGGGTCCTCCTTCCTCCCTCAGAGGCAGAAGCCTTTCACTCCACGATCTAGGCCTCTCCAAACAGTGACATGGTCAGGTGCTTGTCAGGGATCTGTCCCATATGCCTAGAAAAGGGAAGAGAGAAGGTTTCCCTGGGCAAGCTGGGAGTTACCTTTTTCCCGGGACTAGCTTCTTTCGGCTGCTGGCTGCTGGCTGGTGATGTCTGCCAATGTCCATCCATCTCTGTCCTCTCCTGGCTGGCGGTCACCAAGAAACCTAACAATGGAAGGGGCAGGCAGAGTCCAGGCTCTTGTGTACAGGAAGGAAAGAATTGTCAAGTGTCACAGGTAGCAAGTGCCAAACGGCTGCCTTTAGTGAGGATCACTGGAAGATGTGCCCCGGGCAGACAAAAGATGAGGCACAGACTAAAAAAAAAGCTGCCAGGATGACAGAGAAGTAAAAAACACAGTACCCAGGTGACAGCACAAAGAAACAGCAATGGTGTGTGGATAAATCAGGCTTTCACAATTTAAAGGATTTGCATCTCAGCCCAGCTGCCTCCACTGGATCTCTATGCGTGACTGACAGGTACTCTGTTACATCAGGGGCTCTCAGCACCCCTGCTAGCCCAAGAATTCACTCTGATCTCAATTATATTTATGACGTGTAGTGCATATTTATGAACACTTAATGAGGTGAGATGGGGGAAGGTGCTCCCAGCTGGAGCACCAGAGATCTCCCGGGGTTTTGTTATTTTATTTTCTACCTCTCTTAGGACAGTGGCAGCAGGACTAATCATAGAGCATTGTTTAGAATTAAATGCAGGGAAGCAACTCCCTTTGCTGCATTGTTTCTAACTGTACTAAATGTGCAGTTCTAAATAGTGGCAGAGGCAGATTCTTTAAGAAAGTCATATTTAAGCAAAAGGACTCAAAGAGGTGAGAAGACAGCCATGCAAATAGAAACCTGGGCAAAGAGTGTTCAGAGCAAAAGCAAAATTTAGTGGGGAAGATGGTGCACCACTTGCTGTGTTTGCAAAATAACTTGTAATTCTGATGGTAAAATCCAGTGCAAGGGTTCAAAGGAGGATGCTGGAGAGAGAGAGATCTTGAATGGATGTCCTTGGGGTAAGTGAGAGCAGACTGAGTCAAGCAGAGCAGTGAAGACGTTACCCTCAAAGGGATGTGAACAGTATGGACATATTAAGGCGATAAGGAGGCTTTATAAGCTGAAAATGGGTATTTGGGATGGGGTGGAAGATTCTGAAAGTCCTCTTTGATTGCTTGTATTTCCTTAGTGATAAAAAGAAACAAAACTATAGGGATTCAGAATGATGTAGGAGTTCAAAGTTCAATCAAAATGTGGGGTCACTGTCTAGGAAAATGGAAGAATAAATGGACTAAATAGCAAGGGGAATACCAGGAAAACTTACAATGGTCCATTTGAAATGAGTGGTCATGAAAATAAGACTAGTCATGGTCAGTGTGTCTTTTTCCCAACCATGTTTAGCTTCACAGAGAACTGAATCTAACCAGGATTGTTACTTTGTCCAAAGAACTTTAGAAAGTGGAAGAATGGCCAGGGTGCTGAGGATAAATGCAAGGTAGTGACTCTTATGGGGGAGCATAGAATTGAACCTTGTAAGTTTGGAGGTGAGAGACTGGAAGAAGTGGCAGGATCCGTGGGTTGGAGGTACTGAGAGACACACAGATGTGGGAGTCAGGAGGTCAGGGTGGGGTGGAAGGACGGGTTGGTAATGGAGAGTAGAACAGTAAAATTGGAGAGGTTACAGAGATGGTGCTAAGTGTCAGGGTGTGAACACTAGCACAAAGGTCAAAGTAGGGTGTAGGGGGGCTGGGGATTTAGCTCAGCAGCAAAAGCACCTGCCTGGCAAGCGCAAGGTCATGAGTTCTGTTCCCGGTACTGGAGAAAAAAAACAAAAAACAAACAAACAAACAAAAAAAAAAGTAGGGTGTAGGACATGATTGTTAGCAGAGAAGAGACAGAGACAGTGAAAGGCAAGTTACCTCCACTGCTGTGAATGTTGGAATCACCGCAGAGCAGTAGTGGAGGTGAACATGAGGCAGGAGCTACCATCTTCAAGGGACGGGGGCAGAAAACACATGGTAGGAGAGGAGCGCAAAATGAAGTGGGAAGGAGTGGCCTTTTCTGATGGTAGCTGATGAAAACTTAGGGAATTGAACCTTCTGTTTCCTTTTCAACCCACCGCCTACCACAGGTTGCCTGCTGCTGCTTCTACCGCTGTGTTGGGAATATCTGAAACGGTAGCATTTCCTTGAAAGAATGGCAATGTGTTAAAAAGGAAGTGCAATGAGTGATAGGATCACAGTAGTTATTTCTTACCAGAGAGTCTTGGAAGAGAACCTAATGAAAAATAAGAAATACAGGGAAGGCAGGAGGGAGGAGAAGGGAAGTAGAAAAAATTAAGATGCGATGAGTGTACGTACCAATTCCCCATAATAAATGTGTTCATTATGTGTCACAAACATGCAATGAAAGATGATATGTCAATGCTTAAAAAATAAAAGTAAATACATTAAGCTTTTAGAATAGTGCCCTTGTCAGCTAGTGAGGGGAGAGGAGGACCTGAGACTGGTGAGAAGATCGGGTGGCATCAGGCAGTATTCGGACATGTTTGGGTGCGCTAAGGCTTTGCACCCTAGTGATACAGGTCTGCTTGTGCACACGTCCGAGTCTCCACCAGTGAGTGCAGCTGCACTGAGATGAGAGTAGTTCTACCTTGAGCACTTTATTCCCCGAGTCACACTTGTGCACGCAGAAGAAAACTGCTAACGCATTTACTGAAATGTCTGCAATCTTTGCAGCTCTCAGCTACTCTCTGTATATAGCTTTTGATACTTGGAATTACCCCAGTCTCCACTCCTTCCAGTTCCAGTGATCAAAACAACAGACTGCTTTCACCTAAAGTGCATATTCAGGGCTCTTGTCTTAGGCACCACAGATTCCCCCAGAGGTCCATGATTAGAACTGTACTTTAATATAATAGGGTTTCTCTCAACTTCTAGGCACTTCGCTCTGTGCATTAAAATAACAGTTCCAAGGAGGGATGTATGAGCTTGAGCAGCAAGGCAAAGAGGTTCAGCACACCTACATGAACATGGCCCCTTTGTTTCCATTCCAATTACCCTTTTGTTTAAACAACAGGTTCTTTTTTTTTTTTTTTTTTTGGTACTGGGAATTGAACTCAGGACCTTGCACTTGCCAGGCAGGGATTGAGCCACTGAACTGTATCCCTGGCTCCAACATATTCTTCCTTGGCTGTCTCCTCAGTTTCTGTGATTTTGATAATTTCTCATCCATGCTTTTGTTCAAAAGTCCTGTTGGTGTATGTGTCTGGAAATCCAGCCTCATAATCAACGAGTTACCTACATGCCTACCCTTTCCTAAATATTCCCACAGCTGCTAGCCTTCACTAACCTCGTACCCAGGTCCTGCTCAGTTTATAAGGGAACAAAGAAAAACCTCTGATGTTCTTCCTTAGTGAAGCTGCCCCTCCCCTCCCCTCCCCTCCCATTAGTTTCCTATTTCTTCTGTAACAAATTACTACCTGTGGTTTAAAAAGCATAAATTTATTCTTCTACAATTCTAGAAGTCAGAAGTCCAAATAAGTTTTACAGGGCCAAAATTAACTGCCAGGTATACCAATTCCTTTTGAGAGCCCTGGGGAAGAAGCTCTTTCTTGTGTCTTCCAGCATCTAGAGGAAGCTGATGTTTCTTGGTTCAAGGTGATAACGCTCAGATCTCTAATGATGTTAGGGTTTAAGTCTAGGTGTCCCTGAAACCCTCATATGCTCATAGGTGGGCCTTTTCAAAGGTGGCTGGATCTAGGGTGTGTACATATGGATTAATGGTATGTGATAGCTAAATCAGTCCACTGATTGGTTTACATATTTCTGGGTGTGGATAATCAGAAGACCCACCTGGGTATGGGTTGCACCATCCAACAGGTTTGTAGCCTGAAGGTGATAAACGAGAAAGGAAGACTTGTTGCTCACTGCCTCCTGCCATGGACTGTTTCTCCTCTGCCCTTCTCTGCCACGCCACCCTGCCTTGGAGCCAGCCAACTATGGACTTAAACCTCTACAAACTAAGCCAAAATAAACCTTTCCTCCTTAGAGTTGTGGGTGTCGGGTACTGTGTGTCAGGGATGAGAAAGTAAGACAACTGCCTTCCTCCTATAAGGATCCCTGTGATTACATCAAGCCCACCTGGATAATCCAAGATAATCTCTCCATCTTTCACTTAATCTCACCTGTTCAGTCTTTTTTGCTGTAAAAGGTAACACAGGTTCTGTGGATGGAATGTGGACATCTTTGGGAGAATATTATTTAGCTCATCACACACCCTCTTTCTCTCATTTCTTTTTTTCAGATGAGGTCTTGCTATGTATTTCAGGATGAGGATGGCCTTAAACTATGGCAATCCTCCGGTCTCAGCCTCCCAAGTGCTGGGATTACAGGAATGCACATTACACCCACCTTCATCTTTGAATTCTTTTTTTTTCTTTGAGACAGGGCCTCACTATGCAGTTCAGACTGGACTTGAACTGACTTTGCAGCCTAGGCTGCCCTCAAACTCACAGTGATCCTCCTACCTCAGCCTCCTGAGTGCTGGGATTGCAGGTGTGCACCACCATGCCCAGTAATCCTTGAATTCTTAACACTCTGTTGTAAATTTGTCCCTCCTCTATATTTCTTACTTCAGTAAATAGCAGCACCTTTTATTTTTAATCCTGGGACTCACTCTTGATTCTTCTCTTTTTTCTTACTATGAACAACTTTAACAAAGGAAGCAACCAAAATCCAATGCAAGAGAAAATCCTGTCCATTCCATCTTTAAGACCTTCATTAACTGTCAACCTAGGAACCTGGCCATAAACATTAACTCTCGCTTGGACAATGGCAAAGCCTCCTCACTGTCCCCTCTCCCCTGCAGTATTACAGGGACAAGCCTAGGGTAACAGGAAACTAGCCCACTAGGTTAAGAGCTAATTTAAACAGATAAGCAAGCACAGAAATGTATAAAAGAAAACACAATGAACTTGAAAAACTTAGACCAACTAAAATAAAAGACCCAAACAAGAAATAAGCAAGTGAAATGAACAGACACTTCTTAGAGGGAGTACAAATGGCCAACAAACATACAAAAAAATGTTCAACATCTCTGGTCCTCGGAGGAATGCAAATCAAAACAATGCTAAGATTCCATCTTATAGCACAAGGAATGGTGACCATCCAGAAGTCAAAGAACAACAAATGCTAGCAAGGCTGCAGTGAAAAAAGAACCTTCTACATTGTTGGTGGGAAAGTAAACTAGTATGACCATTATGGAAATCAGTATGGAGATTTATCAAAGAACTAAGACTAGAAATTCTATATGACCCAGCCAAGCCCTTTCTAGGTATCTTCTCCAAAGAGCTAAAAACATCGTATTGCAGTGATACATGCATAATCGTATTTATAGCACTACAATTTGTAATAGCCAAACCCTGGAAGGAGCCTGTGTATCCATCATCAAATGATTGGATAAAGAAAATGTGGTATCTGTGTACAGTAGAATATTGTTTGGCTATGAAGAAGGACAAATTTGAGACATTTTTAGGAAACTGGATGCACCTGGGAAGTATAATGTTGAATGAAATAAACCAGACACACTAACTTAAATACATATGGTGTATCTCATTTGAGTAAGGCAAAGTACAAAGAGCACAATAAAGAACGGATAGAAGGAGACGGATCTCTTGCAAATGGGAAGGAGTCCAAGAGGATGAGGGCAGGGGGAAAGGGAGAACGGAAGGGGAAATAAGTAGAATACACACATGTGGAGGACCACATGACTCTCCTTGAAGGAGGAGCAATTGTCTCCGTTTTGGCTGAGCTTCAACCTATATTGATATGTACGGACCTGGCTAGGACTCTTTCCTTATCCCTTCAATTGGCTTTAAGCAATGTGGATCAGTTTAGCTGAGGTGCTGATAGTTGTCTTCGAAGACGGCAGGTGTGTTTCCTTGGACCCGTTATTTCCATGAGTGAGCCAGGATGAGGCAGGATGTTGAGCCAGTGCTCCATGCTGTCAGCTGGGATCCAGCCTTGAGATAGAGGCTATGACTTCCTGGGGCTTGAAAGATTATACATCAGAGCAGAAGCACTGACCCCAAAATATTAGATACTATCTCAGTTCTGTTATGCAGATTACTCTTTCTGCATATCCTTCTCTGCATATTGCTGAGATGATTTCAGGCCTCCTACCTAGCCCAGCTCACGGCACTCACCTACTTCCCAAGAGATTCTCATAGTCACTCATCCTCAAGCCACTCCCTTCTTCATGAATGAATAAAATCTGGGTTCAGCCTTAGGCTGAGGCTTTTGTTCCAGATAGCCATCATCATGGCTGGACCTAGGACCCCTTGGCTCCCCATAACTGCAAATATGCCTTAGTATCTTTATTCTCGCCATGGGCTGCACTGGAAGTGGTAGACTGGAATTAACTCACTAGAATTCCAATAACTTTTCCATGAGATTACAAATATGACTTCCTGGGCCGGCTGCAAGGAGGACTGGGACGGGCTCTCTATACACGTACGCCATGCACAGGAACCCAACGCTTAAATGAATGTAAACATTACATGTCATAAACATGAGATCATGAAAATGGGGACAGGGCATTTGGAGGAGGAGGGGTGAAGAGAGAGGGAGGAGGAGGGCATTGAAAAGAACCAAGTTGTATTATGTTCACGTACCCGCTCCCCAGGCTGAGTACAAACTGCACATACGACAAACAGGTACTAATAAAAATGTAAAAAAAGAACAAAGAATAAAAGTTTAAATAAGAGGGGAGATGAGGATCTTTCTCCTCCCAGGAAGAAGGTATAACTAAGCGAGTTGACAGTTCTCCCTAATACTTGGCTGGACTTGGAAAAACTTGGAAATGCAGAGTAACCAGTTTCCTTTGAACTGTTTCCTGTAAACCAGTTAAATAACTAACTTCCTTTAGGCCCTAAACCCATAAAGCTGCCTTTTTTAAACAAGTCCCCAGGCTCCACTTGTCTATATAGGGCAAAATAAAGCAAATTAGTTGAACTTCTACCCTCCCTTGGTGGATAGCTACCAAAAGCTTTTTCCTTCTGTTAAAAAAAAAAAAAAAACCTCCTAAAACTGGTTATCTGTGTGCAGAATGAAACTGGACCCTTATCTTGCACCATATACTAAATTAAAATCAAAATGGATCAAAGATCCCAACACCAAAACAGAAACATTTAAAGCTTCTGGGAGATAAAATAGGTAAAACACTTGAAGACATAAGTGTAGAAAAGGATTTCTAAACAGAACCTCAATCACACAAGACATAGCAGCAAGAATCAACAAGTGGGATTACATCAGACTAAAAAGCTTCTGTAGCAAAAAAATACAACAGAAGAGTGAAGAGACAACTTACAGAATGGGAAAAAATCTACTCTTCAGACAAAGGACTAATATCTAGAATATATAAAGAATTAAAAAAAAAAACCCACCTAAAATTAAAGACCCAGTTAAGAAATGGGCTAGAGAAATGAACAGACACTTCACAGAGGAAGAAACACAAATGGTCAACGAATATATGAAGATATGTTCAATATTCCTGCCCATTAGAAAAATGCAAATTAAAGCAATACTAAGATTCCACCTTACTCAGGAAAGACTGGCGATTATTAAGAAATCAAACAGTAACAAGGGCTGGTCTGGCTTAGTGAAAAAAGAGCCCCCTGCACTGTTAGTGGGAATGTAAACTAGTACAGCCATTATGGAAATCAGTATGGAGGTTTCTCAAAGAACTGAAACCAGAAATTCCATAAGACACAGGGATCCCCTGCTAGGTATCTTCTCCAAAGAGCTTAGATCAACATATTACAGCGATACATGCACACCAATGTTTATAGCAGCACAATTCTTAATAGCCAAATCCTGGAAACAGCCTGTATACTCATCAGCAGATGATTAGATAAAGAAAATGTGGTATCTATATATAATGGAATACTACTCAGCTGTAGAAAATGACAAATTTGAGACTTTCATGGGCTTGGAAAATATAATGGAAAATATAATGTTGAGTGAAATAAACCAGACACACAGGTTTAAATACCTTAGGGTATCTCTCATGTGAGTAAGGCAAAGTACAAAGAAAATGATAAGGGATGGATAGAAGGGGACAAGGGGACAGATCTCGTTCAGTAAAGAAGTGGTCCAAGGGAACAAGGAGCGGGTTAGGGGAGGGGAAGGAGAAATGAGGGGAATGAAAATATGCCATGTGCAGGGCTCTAATAACTCCAGTCAGTGTAAACACTATACGCCACAACCTGAGCTAAGACAAATATCAACAAGTATGGAAAAGGTGATGGGGAACCAGAGGAGGAGGGAAGGTGAGCTGGATTTAAACAAAATAATAGTAAGGTGTAGTGTGCATGTGTAACCGCTCCCCAAGGTGATTGCAAACTGTGTGAATTACAAACATGGACTAATACAATATTCATTAAAAAATCTTACTAAACTCTTCCCTTTGTCCATGATTTTATTCTTCAATTTCATGAGACACAGAACTCAGATGGCTACAAAATTAACTGTTTCACCATAACTGCCTTTCTGTAAGATCTTGGGTGTTACTTTTACATGGGTAATTTACTGGGTAATTTAATTTAACTGGGTACTGGTAATTTAACTGGTACTTTTACATGAGTAGTCGGTGAAATTTAAACAAATAAGCACATCACATAGCCAGCAACTAGGATGTGCTAAATAAACAGTAGATTGACACGAGAGGAAACCCACCTCTATGGACAGCCTTTAGTGTAGATGGGCACACAAGGCACTGTCATGCGGGGTGACGGTGATGTAGAAACGTGCAAGCAGCATAACTACACAGGAATAATAGCAGAAATGACACATTCAACTTTACTCTGAGATCTGAAAATGCAATTCAAAACACAGATTTTCCGTAACCTACACTACATTGACTTCCAATTTTCTCAGTTTATGATCATAGAAATCACACTTCACATTGTGCATTTTGACCTCCTCCCAAGCAGCAAGCCACATTTCCCAGGAGCCAAGATGACAAGGAGAAATAGCCGATACGGGACAGTACCTGCTTCTGCCGCGAAGTGACGACCTTTGGTAGGTGAGAGGTATTAAACGCATATTCTACTAGCAACATTTCCAACTTACAATGGGTTTATTAAACACAAACTCACTGTAAATATAAATCCATTCTAAGATGAGGAGCTTCTGTGGATGGTCTTACAAGTGAGTTTTTACGGTATCATATTTCATAAGCACCCATTTAAAGCTCAAGGAATTAAGTATTTTACCTGTTATTTTCACCTCTCAAACGGTAACTTCATATATACTTTTATGGAAAGTCCCAATTTCCACTCACAAAATAAACTTGGAATAAATCTGGGGAGAAAACCAATCTCTCACCGGCCTGGTGTACCCGAGCTCGCCATAAGGAAATGAGATCTTTGCATTTCCATAACCTTCCCTCACCTGGCCTGTCCTTAAAGGGCAGGCAGCAGGGTGTGCCCGCAGCTGACCCTCCCACACGCGTTCCTGCAAAGGAGAAAGGTCGCAGGGGCCCATGCAAACCCAGCTGCGACGGTCCCCTGCCTCTGTCCGAAGCAGCAGGTCCTCGCGCAGGAAATTCCCCGGGGGAGCTGGGTCCTAGGCAGCGCGGGAGCCGATCCCCGCACGGACGGCGCGGGGGCGGGGCCAGCCCAGGGAAGCTGTGGTCAAAGCCCGTTCCCCGGAACCCGGCTGCCCGCCCCGACCGCGGGCGGAACCCGCCCCCCGCGGTCAACCTCCGCCCTCCTCGAGGGCTCCCCGCTTTCCTCGATTTCCTCGGAGGTCGCGCGGCCGTCGGGTCGCCGCAGCATGGGGCCGCCGGGCCGCGGAGGAGCGCTGCTGGCCGCGCTGCTGCTG